CCCCAAAACCCCAAAACCCCAAAACCCCAAAACCCCAATTTTTTAGGAAAATAGGTATAATATAATTTAAAATGAGTAATAATCCTTCTCTAACAGAGAGAAAGTATTACGTTGACCAGAATAAAACAGGGTGGACTACTAGGAACAACTTCCAAGGGTTCCACCCACAAGGACAGAACAATGATATGAACAATACTATGTATGCAGAGGAAGGAATTGGTGATATGAACGGAGCAATGGCTAGGAACTCTTCCCTGGAATACAACCCTGTTAGTAGACAGATGCTTGATTCGAGAGGGAAATTCAAACCCGCTAGTCGTAAGCAGAAGGCTAGGAGAACTCTGAGGCAGAGCTTGCTGAAGGCTTATAACAATAAGCCTAACTTTGGAGGCACAGGAATGAGATTCAATCATAACATAACTAAATAAAAAGAAGCAAGGTAATATATTTTCTGGAGACCAACAAATTAACTTCGATTCAGGCATTAGAGTTAACCGGAACATCCTCCCTTCTGATTCAGGGATCATGAACAACACACTAACAACTGGAGATATGGATAAAGGACAGAAGAAGAGAGTCCTTTCTTTTTCTAACTCAAATCAAAAAATTTCAACTGCAAGAGGCAGAAAGAGCTCAAACGATAATATATTTACCCTAAAACGACAAATAAAGGATCTGAGGGAGATGCTTAAGGAGAAAGATGTTATGCTCAGAGACCAACGAATGAATATTGCTATGAATACTATCGACAATACTTATGATGACCGTGACGCACTTGTTCAGGAAAACCAAGACTTGAGACACCAACTGAACTTAATCACTAGCAAACAAGGTGAAACTAGTTTCAAAGAAATTAATAATCTTAAAAGAGAGAACGAAGGTCTTAAGAAAGGGTATAACCAAATTAATGAATTACTTGAGCAAAAGGATATAGAAATCAAACAATGAGAAAACTTAATTAAACAGAAGGACGATTTGATAAAATACCTTAAAGAGCAACTCAAAGGGTACATGAATGACAGGAACCAGGAGTGGCAGAAGGTTATGGAAGGTATAGATATTTCTGATATCCCTAAATTTTTACATTACTCAGAACCTATTAATCATAGATAAAAATTCTGAATTTTCTAGTTATTTCTATATCCATCATCACACAAATATATAGAGCAAAAGTCGCTAAAAGCAGAGTCAAAAGCCACAGGTAACATAGAAGATCCAGTGCAGATAACACAGGAGTTCTTCCTGCGGTTCTCTTCATTCTGCTTCAAGAAGAAATTAACACTTTATAAAATAATCCATTCAAAGATTTTTGATAAGATGATAAATGGAGTGGAAACCGAACTAATTACTGTCAAGCACTTCTGGAGACTTCTGCAGAAAACTGGTTTTAAGACCATTACTTCTGAAAAAGAGGCTGTTACCAGTCTTGTTAAGAACAAAATCTTGTACGATATCATAGAAGTGAAAGGACTTAAATAAAATAATGGCTCAACTGGGGATCCTTGAAAATTTACCTGTAAGCACAAAGAATTTCTGCTACGAAACCCTTAGTGGCGCAGGAATCAGACTTATGAACAGGATCATCAGAGATACCGAAGGAGATATAGAGAGCTTTCTTAAGAAGGAAGGAGGCATCCTCGATCATAAGTAAGCTTATTGGTTTGAAAACTTAGAATAACGAAGAAGGTCATTGCTGGAAGCAAAAGTGAGATGATCGATGTTATTAATTCAGATGACTTTCTGAAAATACTTAAAAAGTTTAAAATTATGAAAAGATGGGAAGATCTGGATGAGAATCTCCAAATCTTTCTTTCCCTCCCAACTTCTGGGGGACAAATGAAGGGAAAACAAGAAGATCAGAACTCGGTTAAACAGAATCTTGAGAGTTCAACCATAACCTTTTTATCAATACAAAAGATCAGGAAATGCCTCTCAGATTTCCAAAAATTTGAGTTCTTTGAGTACTATGGTTACACCCAAAGAACAGAGGGAGAGATTGATTCAGAAGACGAGCCTGATACATTTAACCCAATAGAAACCATGAGGAACAGATTAACAACAATCAAGTACGTATCTTTATATTTGTGCTAAAACCAAAAGTTGGGATAAACTACATCTAAAATCTCTTCTAATTCCTCCAAATCTAGGAACAAGAAATCCTTAGTGAAGAAGGTCACTATCATGCCAGGGTCAGCCCAAAAGAAGAATTACAGAAAAGATCAGGAATTTACCAATTTCGACCCTGAAGGTAAGCTTCTTCAAATGGATTTTATTCTGGAAATATCTCCATTAATGTTTTCCTTTTTACCATGAATTGGTTTGACATTCTTTAGACTATCAGAAAGCCAAAACATCAGAGAATAGGAAGGAAGACTTCTACGAAGTAGACCTTAGTGAGGAAGAGAATAGGAAGGATAAGAAAACCGTCATGTCAATGAGAAGAAAGCAAAGAAGGACTACTAAAGGCAGGGATAAGTAATTATACCTTTATTCAACTATGCACTCTTACAAAGGGGTTTTGGGGTTTTGGGGTTTTGGGGTTTTGGGG